TGCGCAAGCCGTGTTGCTGTAAACATGTTTGCAGTTCAAACTGAAGACCAGAAGCTGGAACGTTTGTGTCTATTTATGTTGGTAGAAAAGAGCAGAGACCTCTTTTGCTTAACTCAATTTGGGTTGATTTCTACTAATATCCCCTAAATAATTCTTACTTATTATCCCCTCACTACAATGTCATTTTTAAAAAGATAGGGAAATCAATATTCAGAAAGCCAAATTCAAGCTCCTTTGGACTAAGGAGCAGTAAGTTAGAAACATAATGAGTACCAAACTGAACCAGGCCACTTACCTGTGTAGTCAGACATGAGCTCAGTGGGGACTGAGCTTTCACTGATTATTTCAGCCATTACATATCTGTGAGCAGACTGTGGTGCTCAGCTTTGTCATGCAAAATCTTTTAGTGGGGAGGGATGGGAAGAGGCTGTGTGGTCAATTTATATATATAAAAACAAAGAAATAGTAATAATTTCTTGACATGTTTGACAAAATGACTAAGCTATGTAGTCATAGGAAAAGTGTTTTAAACAGTAAGAAACCCTATGGAATTAAAGATCTTTGCTGCATTAAGAAATGCAAATGCCAATATTCTTATTTCCTGCTTGGGTATCTCAGTGGCGGCTTTTCTCCTGAATAAAGTTGCTGGCCAGCCTTGGGACATATCCCCAGCTCTTTCTTTTCAGGGCCTCTCCTCATACCTCGCCCTCCTTTAAATTCTGACTGATTTTTAAAGAGAAGTGCTGCAGCTCCTACACCAAGACATGTCCCCTCCCCTAGCTTCTTACAGGGATCTCATGACATCTTAGTTTTTCCCCCTCTTTTTTTCTGATCTGGAAGATTAGTAATGTCTTCAGTTTTTCTTCTTTCATCAGTGTTTATTTCTAAACCTGCTTAATATTATGTCAGTTTTAAAATGCCTCATTGGAGATATGGGAAGAGTTTTAATTTGGCTAACCCAAATTATGGGACCACCACAGAGGGAGCCAGGCTTTCGGGCTCACCAGCACTGAAGTATTTTTTGAAAGGCTGGAAGACAATCCTTGGGATGAATCCTGGGCCTCTGCTAGCAGGTGACTTCCCAAACGAGTCAGCAGTTGCCGCGTAGTTCTGATATATCAGTCTGCCAGGCTGGTTTTCCTTGCCTCTTCCATAAGCGAAGCTTTGGGTGGCCCGTTCTCCAGCACACAGTGTTTTCATGTCCCTCTTCTTTGCTGTCTCAGTTTCCTGCCTTCACAGAGGCCAGGATCACAGAAATTTGTCCGCCTCCATTTTCCTTTCTATCGGCACTTCCATCATACCAGGGAGATTTTTGCTTCCCTTCTCTTGAACCCCAGAGAGATTCTGATCCCTCTTACTATCCACAATGCAGCCTCCTTTGCTCTTCCAGTGATCTCCAAGCCACGAGGGAGGCAATAGAGAAGAATGGGCCCTTTTGCTGATACTGCTGGTAATGATTCCCTGGGAGCCCTTTCCACGGCTGACAGGAGCTAATCCTGCAGTAAGAGCTGAACCCCAGGGAAGGGCTCTGCCGGCAGAGTGTCTGGCGCTGAAACAGCGCAGGGCCAGTGAAGCTGCCTCTGCCCCATAGAAGAGTCTGTCAGGGCACCAAGAGCCTTCTTGCTGAAACCTAAATCTCACCAAAATCTGCAGTGATCCAAAACTGTTTTAATACAGCTTCTTCTGATTTGACAAACTGAGTTCGTGGTCTTAGTTTTCTTCAGTAATGAGTACTTCTGTTGGAAGTTCAGGTCCACGGACTGTAAAAGCTATGTAAAGCTATGAAGACTCAGTTTTCTCTTGTGTCCCACAGAATATTTTGTTCTTGAGTTGAAGTATAGCAGCTGAGCAGAAGCTTCTGCTTTTAGCCTTTTCAGCAGTCCCACATTCACAAGCAGAAGGTAGAACACAGAAAAAGGACTAAAACAAGAATGCACTTTGTTTCTCAGACCAGAAAAATGATAACCATCTTTCCTATTATAGTACATTCTGTCTGCAGGTCAGCGTTTTCATTTGAGATTTGAATGGAATCCAAGTCAATATGTCAAGAAATCCTTCACTTCAGCCATTATTGTAAATAAGACCACTGTCAATTAAGTCAGTGCAATTCTGGGAAAATAATTTGTGGCTTAGCTTGTTCTCTTTGTAAACTGGGTGGCTGCCTATCCATTGGTGTAAATTCGTATCCCAATATTTGCTCTTGTTTCTTGGCTTTATTTTCATTTTAAATTTCTCAATGTCATGAAATAAGCTTGTGTTTTTCAGTCTGCATTTTTCCCTGTTCTAAAAGTGTTAACTATTTAACTAAATTGTTGGCACATTATGAAGAAGAAATATTCCAGGTCTGACACAATCCTAATTTCCTTGCTGTACTTTCCCATTGAAGTAAATAAACATTTACTTTCTTTTGGACACGCTGTGAACTGTGAAAGAACATAATCCACAAAACTTCAACTAATATTGAGTAATCTGACTGAAGAAGGAGGAGCTAGGCACTTTGCAATAATTTGGTGCAGAGAAATGACCATCTGCAGATATTCAGTATGTTTCTGAGAACATGCATGCACATATATATATATATATTTAATAAGGAAGCCTTTCTTGAGGCTTCTTTCTCTGAGGGAGGGGATCCTTCCCCCTCTGCTCAGCTCTGGTGAGGCCGCACCTGGAGTATTGGGTGCAGTTTTGGGCTCCCTGGTACAAGAGGGACATTGAGCTGCTAGAGAGGGTCCATTGGAGAGCCACAAAGATGATAAAGGGACTGGAGCATTTGTCACATCAGGAAAGACTAAGCGAGCTGGGCCTGTTTAGTCTGGAGAAGAGAAGATTGAGGGGGGATCTGATCAACATGTTCAAGTACCTGATTGGGTACTTGAACAGATGGCCTGATGGGGACAGGCTCTTCTCCATGGTGGTCGGTGACAGGATGACGAGTAAAGGGTATAAGTTCAAACACAGGCAGTTCCCCCTCCATATGAGGAAGAACTTCTTTACTGTGAGGGTGACAGAGCCCTGGAACAGGCTGCCCAGAGAGGCTGTGAAGTCTCCGTCTCTGGAGATCTTCCAAACCCACCTGGATGCCACCCTGTGCCATGTGCTCTGGGTGTCCCTGCTAGAGCAGGGAGGTTGGACTAGATGATCTCTAGAGGTCCCTTCCACCCTCAACCATTCCGTGATTCTTTCTAACCCATTCCAGGCCTTTAAAACTGTGCTGGGGGGATTGCGGGTGAAGCCTCTATCAGAAGGACCTGTTGAGTCCTGCCGTGCAGGAACGCTTTGCCATGGGGCCAAGTACCCCTCCGGCACAACATCTCATTCGCACTGACTGAAGCTCTTTTTCTAACGCGGTCATTGTAATTCCTGTAACACCTGCAACACCTGCAACACCTGCCTCAATGGGTGTTTTGGGTTTTATTGTTTGTTTTTTAAACTGTTCCTCTTTGTTATAATTTGAAGGACACTTAACGCTGCTATTAATCTTGACCTTATCTCTTAGCAAGTTGATAACGGTGCCATAAGCTCTCTTAGCTTTGGCACTGGTATGTTAGGTTTTATAACACAGACTTCCCACTGTAATTAAATGCTGACAATGCGTCAGCTTGTTGGTTTTGACATAAGTGAAACTATACTTAAAGCAGCATACTTTGCTTACTGCCCTTAACAGCACAGCGTCCATTTGAGTGCAGCACTCACAGGTGCCTCATTCGGTTGTCCTGGTCAAGCAGGATCGAAGAGTTATGAAGTGAAGCTGATACCAGTTAGGTTGGATAGCATCATATTATTTTATTATTAGATGGAGCTGCAAGACTGGTGTGGGGAATAGTGTGAGTGGAGATTAAAGTCTCTGAGATTAGCAGTGTCTTATATCTGACTTTCCGGAAATTTAAGAATGTGCTGAGGTGCCCTAATGAGCCAGAGCAAAGGTGGGTTTAGCCGAGCAGGCCAGCAACTTCCTGAATTGATTTTTCTAGCTGAGCTTAGGAAAGGTCCAAGCAGGCAGCCTGCAGTGCAATGGCAGTGGTGCCGCAGGGCAAAATACAGCAACTGCTGTCTCTCCATATAGCATAACCTTTCTGTGCAAACAGGCAGTAATCTTTCCACATTTTGGAAGATGTGAACACATTAGATATGTCAAGTGTAGCAGGAAATGTGAGGAATGGCTTTTCCCTAAAGCCTGCAAGAGTCAGAAAAGACTATTTTGATGCTCTTTATAGAAGCATTGTGCAAATTATTAGCCTCCAAGGCCACTGAAAGTCAAGGGTGTGCTAATATTGAGATGAGGGCACCCCAGTAAACTACTGAAAGGGGCTTCAGGAGGAAGAGCCAGGAGAAGGATGTGGAAGGACATGAGTCAGATGTGGTTTCTCTCCAGCTGTGTTTCATCGGGTTAGTTCAGGAGTGCCCTTGGCACGTAACGTGGCTGCTGTAGCAGCCAGCAGCTCCAAGCGGGACCCGGGTGTGCTGAGGAACGTGGCCCCTGCTTTGGGGGACCACAGAGCCACGTGCACCCGAGGGCATCAGGAAAGCACCCACAGCCGCAGGGCTGGCCTCCTGCGCCCTCGCAGGGAGGCAGCGCGTGACAGCAGAGCTTCGTGCCGCTGCCCTGCTCCCGCAGCAGCTATCCCGAGGCCTTGCTGTCAGCAGGACTTCTGCTGCCAAAGCATCACGCAGGAGAGCAGGGCCTAGGGGTAGGAGCAGGCCAGGCCTGGGGTAC